CCCCCGGGGGGGGGGGGGCCCCCCTTTCCCCCCTTCCCAAAAGGATTTCGGGGTTTGGCCCCCCCCCCCGGGGTTCCACGGGGCCCCCTGGTTCACCACAAAGCCCGGGGGGGCAATCCCACCCGCCCCCCCCCAAACCCCCTGGGGCCCCGGCGCCGGCCGGGCTCCGGGGTGGAGGGCTGCGCTCGCCGAGCGCCGTGCTCACACCTGCCCCCGGGCGCCCGGCGCCCCGACTGCGCAGCAAGCGGCCTTGGTGCGCCGGCCTCAGCCTCCGCATCCAGGCGCATCTTTCCTCTCCTGCGGCCTGAGGCACAGTGATCACCTTCCCTGCCTGGGAGGCGCGCGGGCGGGCGGGGACCCCTCCCCTGCCTTTACACTCACATACTTTCACCAGACATTCATTCAGAGTTTAAACAATCCATTCAATTACATTCATTCAGAGTTTAAACAATCCATTCAATTCCTAACAACTTCCCAACTCCTGAGGGAGCTCTACAGCCTCCCCCAATCTCCTTGAAATGATCAATCACAATACCCAAAGGAGCAGTCTGAGTCCATCCCATAACATCCGTCCAGTAAGTCCACAGAAAACAAAAACACAGACACAGACAAACAGGGGGCCCCAAAGAACAGCCTTCCAACTCCATGGAAGCAACTAGACGATGGCCTTACGCCAAACCGGCGGGAGCGACCCGCCTTGTCTCAAATCCGCGAGAGGAATACACATCTCTCATGAGGGGAATACACATCCCTCAAATCCGTGAGGAAAATACACATTCCTCGTGGGGAGCAGAACGTCTTCTAACTCTCCCCCGCCTGTGGTCGTTCACAGCGCGTCCGCCTGGACCCCTCAGGCACAGATTCCAGAAGTGAGCTCACACAGGACAGATAAAGAACAAGTCCCTGAACAGAGGCAGTAGAAAACTGCCTAGGAATGCTTCTCTTCTACCTTTTTTAAAAGATAGGCCAGATTCGAACCCTTAGCCAGTCCGAGTTTTGATGGTGAGTACCATCTAGAAGCTATTCCTCTAGATACAGGACAAGTCCCTTAGAGATATCACACAGAACAGAATACACAACACACAGACACTTACCTCGGCCAAGCAGACTCTACGAATTGGGGGGGTCCCTACATGGTCTTGGGAATCCCGGATGAGCCCCCAAATGTTATGCCCAGATTTCAAGATTCCCAAGAAACCACATCAGGGAGCCAGCCAATCCGATGCAAAAGCATAAGAATCTGTATTTCAAGCTAGCTTGAGCTCCCCATCCACCAGACTCACCGACACAACGACAAGCCAAGTGGCGAAGAGACAGAACCCCGCCTAGAGAAGGGTTTTAAAGGGGGGGTTGGAGTAAGGGGAGGAGAAAGGACTGTGCTCTGCCGATTGGCCAGGGGCAAGTTGATGTCTTAGACTTCCGGGAAGAAGCTCCTTGCCAAGCATGTGGCCAAGGTAAGATGGAGGACGTGGCCCTTACCCTGGGGCAAGATGGAGGGCCTAGCCTTCGCCCTTTCAGAGGATGGAGGATGGCGGATGGAGGATGGCAGATGGCGGATGGAGGATGGAGGACGGAGGATGGCCGATGGAGGATGGAGAATGGAGGACGGCGGATGGCGGATGGCGGCCCTGCGCAGATCCAGGGGGTATTGTGCAGGATGCTGTCCAAGGAGGCCGGGCCTTCTTGTTAACGGTGCTCTGCTGGCCGGATATCCGCTTCACGACGATCACCACACCTTGCTGCCCCCATTTCCGGTGAACCAGCCAGTTGTAGCGAAAGGTTATTGGCGTCGGGGCTGTAAGTCCGCCCGTCCCTCGCTGTCAGGAGCTGGAGACGTTCTGGACGACCACCAATCGCAGGTGGGCACGCCTGGGCAGCCGCTGAGAGCCCCCCCGCACCTTGGGCGGCAGGGTTGAGGGGGTGACGCCAAGGATGCGAGGGGCACAATGAGAAAGGCCCCCGGGGCAAGCACGCGAGGGCACAAGATGCGGACACTGGGCGGGCGGAAGGTCTCGCTCCAGAACATGTATTCATTCACTCACAGTTTCTGATGGTGTACAGCCCGGAGAAGGCTCTAGTTAGGCATTTGGCTCAGTGTTTCTCTCGAGGTTGCAGCCCAGTTCCCAGTTCAAGTCACAACCAGGTTCAGATGGACTAGAGAGCCCAATTCTAAAATCACAGATTTGGTTGTTGACAGGCCTCCCTCCTTGCTGGTTACTGGCCAGAGACCTCCATTCATTGGCACACGAACCCCTCCATAGCCTGCTGGAGTGGCCTCATTTCATCACATCTGGCTTCCCACAGAAGTGATGTGAGAGGGAACGAAATGTGAGCAGGTGAGTAAAATAGTACCCCAAAGAAAGCCAGACTTGTATCTAGACTAGTACATATGTTAGGGTCGCCTAAAAGTGGTAAAGAATTATGAATTTATTAGGTCATCTGGAAAACCAGATGGGCTGAGCCCCAAACTGGCGCCAGTACCCAGGGTTAGGGAGTCAGATTTTGAAAGACTCTAGGGGGCCTTTCTCCGGGCAAGTCCTGAGGGGAAAGATAATGGTCTTAGCGAGTGGAATGTGATTTAAGTGAAAGAGACGGTTGGAAGTGGTCCAGGGGAGGGGGTGTTGATTCAATTATTTGAATAGACCTAACAACATAAGGTCTCTTCCAACTCAATAAGATAATGTACCCAATGTAAAAATGGACTGCCCTAGCCGGTTTGTCTCAGTGGATAGAGCATCTCCCGGTGGGACTGAAGGATCCCGGGTTCCATTCCAATCAAAGGCATGTACCTTGGTTGCAGGAACGATCCCCAACCCTGGTAAGGGAGAATGCAGGAGGCAACCAATTGATGTGTCTCTCTCATATCGATATTTCTTTCTCTGTCTCTCCCCCTCCCTTCCACTCTCTAAAAAAAAAATAAATAAATAATAATCCATGGAAAGAATATCCTCAGGTGAGGATTAAAAAAAAGAAGAAGAAGCTGTGTAGTGATTTAAGAGAGTCAGATAGCCAAGGATCAGGTTTGCATCTTGAAATGGATCTAATAAGCTTTGTTCAACCTACTTAATCTCTCTGTGTCTTAGTTTCCTCATCCATAAAATAGGGCTTTTGATAGTATCTACCATATTTACTTGTAAAGGTTAAAAGAATTATTATCTGTAATTCACTTAAGTGACTAGCACATAATAAACACTAAATAATACCTGTTAATATTAGTGTTTACTTTTATTTTTTTAATTTTTTATTTTTAATTAAATCTTTATTGTTCAGATTATTACAGTTGTTCCTCTTTTTTCCCCCCATAGCTCCCCTCCACCCAGTTCCTCCCCCCCCCCTCAGCCCTCACCCCCCCCCCCCGCCACTGTCCTCATCCATAGGTGCACGATTATTGTCCAGTATCTTCCTGCATCCCCCACACCCCTTTCCCCCCTGAGAATAGTCAGTCCACTCCCTTTCTATGCCCCTGATTCTATTATAATCACCAGTTTATTCTGTTCATCAGATTATTTATTCACTTGATTTTTAGATTCACTTGTTGATAGATGTATATTTGTTGTTCATAATTTGTATCTTTACCTTTTTCTTCTTCTTCTTCTTCTTGGATACCTTTCAGCATTTCATATAATACTGGTTTGATGGTGATGAACTCCTTTAGCTTTTCCTGATCTGTGAAGCTCTTTATCTGACCTTCAATTCTGAATGATAGCTTTGCTGGATAAAGTAATCTTGGTTGTAGGTTCTTGGCATTCATCACTTTGAATATTTCTTGCCACTCCCTTCTGGCCTGCAAAGTTTCTGTTCAGAAATCAGCTGACAGTCGTATGGGTACTCCCTTGTAGGTAACTGACTGTCTTTCTCTTGCTGCTTTTAAGATTCTCTCTTTGTCTTTTGCTCTTGGCATTTTAATGATGATGTGTCTTGGTGTGGTCCTCTTTGGATTCCTTTTGTTTGGGGTTCTCTGCGCTTCCTGGACTTGGAAGTCTATTTCTTTCACCAGGTAGGGGAAGTTTTCTGTCATTATTTCTTCAAATAGGTTTTCAATATCTTGCTCTCTCTCTTCTTCTGGCACCCCTATAATTCGGATGTTGGTACACTTGAAGCTGTCCCAGAGGCTCCTTACGCTATCTTCTTATTTTTGGATTCTTTTTTCATTTTGCTTTTCTGGTTGGGTGTTTTTTGTTTCTTTGTATTTCAAATCTTTGACTTGATTCTTACGATCCTCTAGTCTGCTATTGGAACTCTGCATAATATCCTTTATTTCAGTCAGTGTATGCTTAATTTCTAGGTGGTCCTTTATCATAACCTCGAGGGTCTCACTAGATTTCTTGAGGGTCTCACTACATTTATCAGCGGTTTCTAGAAAGTTCTTGAAAAACCTTAAAAGTGTGGTCTTGATCTCTATATTCAGTAGTTTGCTTTCCCCCATTTCTGTCATTTTTGTCCTGTTTCTTTGTCTCCGCATTTTTTTATGCTTCCCTGTGTTGGTAGAGTGGCTTTGTGTGCTAGGTGTCCTATAGGGCCCAGTGGCTCAGCCTCCCCAATTACCTGAGGTTGACACTCTTGGTGCACCCCCTTGTGGTCTTTGTGCACAGTCTTGTTGTAGTTAAGCCTTGATTGTTGTAGGTATCACTGAGAGGAATTGACCTCCAGGCCTATTGGCTGTGATAATCAGCTGTGTCTGCAGTGGGAGAACTTCTGTGCTGAAGACACCCTTATGGGGCAAGACTTGCTTCAGTGGGGCTTTGGTGCTCACTGAGTCTGCCCCCTGAGTGTGTCCCTTATGGATCTGAGGAGTTGTAATCTGGATGGTCCCACTCTGACCACTGGGTACACTGGCTCTTGGATCTAAGGAGTTGCTAATTTAGCCTCTTCCTGAGGCTACCCAGCAGGAGCTACAAAGAGATCTGCAGATTCCCCTTCCTTGTTTGGGGTTTGGAGGTGCCCAAATGAGGCCCAGCTGTGAAGCAATGCAAGCTGCTGTGGGGCCTTGGGCCTTCTCTTGGAAGTTCTGGGTCTGTCTGGCCCAGCTGCAGTTTGTTAGGTAATTTTCAGGTTGAGAAGGGCCAGGGCATTCATATGCAAAAGCCTCTGCTGCAGCTTGGGTGGGGCGGGGTCTCAGGGGATCAACAGGGTGGAGCAAGCAGCTATGGCTGATCCTCAGCCCTGCCCTAAGGGGCCCCGCGTCTCAGTGTCCCGGTAATTGCTGTAAGCACCTTTGAGAGAAAGCCGCCCTCGAGTTCCGAGTTCTGCAAGCTGCCAGACAGTCCAGTTTCTCCCCATATGAGTCTAGGTCCCCAGAGACTCACCCGGAATTGGAGTTCAGAGCAGTTGGGAGCTTGTGTCTCCCTCGCGAATCAAAAAGACAGCTGCATCCTCAGTCGCCAGCCCTTACCGCACGCGCCTCCATACCTCTGCACTCCACCTCCGCAGCTCCTCTGAGTCTCAGTGTGCTTTTCTCTTTCCTTCTAGTTGTAGAATTTCCACTCAGCCAGCCTTCCTGTAGTTCTGGATGATGTCCGTTTTGTCTTTTAGTTGTATTTTTGAATTTGTTGTGGGAGGCAGCAATTTCCGGTGTTTACCTATGCCGCCATCTTGGTTTCCTCTAGTGTTTACTTTTAAATGTATTACTCATATGAATAAGTTAAAAGAGAAAGGCCCTAAGATAATCTCATTAGATAAAATATATTTTGGTAAAACTTAATATCCATTTATGACTTTAAAATTATTAGTATACAATAAGAAGAAAGATTCTTCCATACACACACACACACACACACACACACAAGGTTCTACTTGATATAATAAGAACAGAAATATGAATTAATATTTACTGTTATTTACAGATAATGCAGTTGCCTACCTGGAAAGCCCAATGCAAATAAAAATCTAACAGGATTTTTAAAAAATTGCAATTATCCTAACTTCCTTCTGGACAAATAAATGTGTGAAAATTGTTAAGAGTATTTTGAAAAAAGAGAAATATGAGTGCAGCTTTGCCCTCATAGTTATTAAATTGTGTTACTGGTGCATAAACATATCAATAGAAGAGGAAAGAAAGGCCAGAAGGTGATCAGCATATGATAAGGTGTTTAATCAATGTGGAACATTTTAGTTCATTTAATAAGTGGTATTGGGACAAGTAG